AGCTTATAGATATACAAGAGATGTTGTCATTTCGTTATTCACAGAACTAATATAAACCACCACAAGTCTAATTTGCATAATTCTTCAATTGAAATTGCCCAGTCCCCTCACCATATTACATAAGTGAAACTATTTCTAATGAAATTGATCATAGGTTAATTATTAATATTAATTAATTAATATATAAAAGCATAGGTTTGAGTTACTATTCATTAGTGGCTCTCACACTCCTCCAAGTGCAAGTAGGGAAGTTACTAATCCTTCTTTTACCCCACTCTCCATTCTACAACCTTTGTGTTTAGTTATTGTTCAATATATAAAAGTCTAGGTTTGAGTTACTGTTCATTAGTGGCTCTCACACTCCTCCAAGTGCAAGTAGGGAAGTTCCAAATCCTTCTTTTACCCCACTCTCCATTCTACAACCTTTGTGTTTAGTTATTGTTCGCTAGGTTTTTGTCTATGGTTTTTTGAACAAATCATCACATTTGTGTTTTGTTATTGTTCGCTAGGTTTTCGTCTATGGTTGTTTGCACAAATCATCGTCTTTGTGTTATCATCGCATTTGTAGTTAGTTATTGTTCACTAGGTTTTCGTCTATAACTTTTTGCACAAATCATCGCCTTTGCTCACCATTTTGCAGCACATCTCGAAATACTGTAGGCGGGATCCTAAGTTGTTCCCCACCACCGTTTTCTAAGGTCTCTTCCCGCTACCACGAATTTCTTATCGGGACTTAGTTTCATCCTCTTTAGTGTTTTTTTCTTTCTTTTCTTCATTTTTGTTGAGTAACCTAAACACATGGGTATCCTACCTTGGACATAAATCATCGCCTTTGGCCATCATTTTGCAGACCATCTCGAAATACAGTCGGCAAAATCCTAAGTTGTTCCCTACCACCGTTTCCCAAAGCCGCTACCACGAGTTTTGTATCTGGACCGAGTTTCATCCTCTTTAGTGTTTTTTTCATTTTCATTTTATGTTCCTTTTTGTTGAGCATGATCACAATTTAACCCAAACACATGGGTATTCTAATTTCAACACAAATTATTGCCTTTGCCCACCATTTAACAGCCCATCTCGAAATTGTTAGTGGAATCCTAAGTTGTTCCCCACCATCATTTCCCAAGGCCGCTACCACGAGTTTTACATCGTGACCGAGTTTCATTCTCTTTAGTGTTTTTTTTTTTTTCCTTCTCTTGTTCCTTTTTGTTGAGCATGACCACAATTGAACCCAATGCCACTACCGAAAATTCATACCATATTTACTCAATGTTGGCGAGTTTTGTATCAGGGCCGAGTTTTGTTCGCTTTAGTGTTGATTTCTTTACTTTTTCCTTTTTGCTGAGCATGATCACAATTGAACCCAAATCCATGGGTATGCAACATAATTCGATCCGGTCAAAGTGACTTGAAACATACTTTAGCATTTATAAATTTCTCTTTTTTTCTTCTTTTGGTTGGGAAGACAATTGAACCCGAATCTAAGGTTTTGACGAGTGTTATATTGTGAGCGAGCTTTATCCGCTTTTGTAGTTGGCAGGTTGAACCAAGTGTTAATTTGTTAAAAAAAAATTCAAAGCGAGTTGAACACATTGTTAACCAGTTTTAGATCGAAAGCGAGTTTTGTACGCCTTATGTTTTTTTATTTCTCATTTTCCTTTTCGTTGAGAATGACAATTGAACTTTGACCCATTGTTGACGTGTTTCATATCGAGAGTGAGTTTTATCTGCTTTTGTAATTGACAGGTTGAGTAAAATGTGAATTTCTTAAAACTGGGTCGACCCAGTCAAAGTGAGTTGAACACAGTGTTGAGAGTTTGGGGTCATGAGCGAGTTTTATCCGCTTTAGTATTTTTTTTTATCTTTTCCGTTTTGGTTGAGAATGACAATTGAGTCCAAACGCATGGGTATACAACCTACTTCGACCTGACCAAAGCGAATTGAGCCCGATTTTACAAGTTTTCGGCGGGATCGAGTTTTATCTGTTTTTGTAATTGGCGTGTTGTGTCAGGTGTGAATTTGTCCAAAACTCGGTCCAACCAGGTCAAAGCGAGTTGAACTTGGTGTTGACGAGTTTTGAGTGGTAGCGAGTTTTAGCTTTAGTGTTTTTCATTCCGCTTTTTCCTTTTGTTTGAGAAAGACAATTGAACCCAAATCCATGGGTATCCAACCTACTTTGACCCGATCAATGCGAGTTGAACCTACTCAAACCTACAATCAGTCCAAAATTTTCATAAAGGAGAACCACGATGACCTCAAACCCAAAAAATTCCAAAAGAGTACGACTATGTTTGGCCCAAAATTTAGAAGTTTTATGTTTCAAAAGTTGAAGCCAAGCCAAGCACCTCTAAAGTTTTGCTTTTTAAAAAACTGAAGTTTTTCGTAACTTAAACACAAAAGCTCCGATTTGAAAATATAAAATTGTCCTTACCATATATTATTCTTTTTCTAGAATAGTATTATTTAATATGAAAAATAATATTATTTAATATGAAATAAATCTAAAGTGATCCATTTTAAATACTTTTTTATTTTTGGAATTTGTATTCATATTGTATGTTAGAAATCTTTTTTAGTCATTTTTCATGACCTCTTATATGAAAAAGTAATTTTGATAGTTTTTCAGCTAAACACTCAACAGGTTTTTTTAACTTTTGAAAAGATTCAAAGAAGCTTTTCATTCTGCAAAAGTTACAGAAGGATCCATTACTAGCCATATAAATTGAAGCGTCATGAAAGAAGTTTAAACATAAATAATCTATTTGATGACCCTTCTGCCTTATGCAAGTTTATCGACCATATGCTATTGTAAATAACAAACCTATAAAAAGAATGATTAAAAATGAAATAAGATTACTTTTACTTTTACTTTTGACTCAATATTAAACTATTACTATTTAAAATATTTATTTTTCTAATACGCGAAGCGATAGGGAGCGGGCTTTTGCTAGTACTATATATTTGACAGTAGGCAACCTATAAATAGCTCTTGAAATAACACATTTTTTCACAAACGGAGGGTTCACAGGAAATTTCGCATTGTTATGCGTTCATGTTATTTTCTCATATAATTTGGTTAACGCGAAGCGTAGCGAGCAGGCTTTGCTAGTCTACACCTTTTATAAAAGCTGGTAGCCAAAAACCCAAACACCATTTCAAATTTCAGACGCTCAGAGCGTTTGTAGGAAGGACATTTTGGTCTTCACAATTACTTTTTTTTTATTCATTAAAAAGACACGTAATAGGATTCGAACCATGACCATTTTAAAGAAAAGCAAGGATAATAACCAATCACACTAAGTACATTTGTTGTATTTTTTTAAATTAAAAACAAATAATAGCAGGGAGGAAAAAAACTCTTCCCCCATTTCAAATTCCTTGCTCCAGGAGCGTTTGTAGGAAGGGTAGGATAGGGAGTGTCAATTTTTTTCTCTTTCCTATGTGGAACGGGCCAACTTACCGTACACATGCGAATTTAAACGGGTCTAGGAGTGTCAATTTTTTTTCTTTAAGCCTTTTTATTTCTCCGTGGTGATAAAATATATATGAAAAGGCAAAAATAATACTCCTTTTGTTGTTAAAAATAAAAAATTTAACAATAAACTAATGCATGGTATCTAATGGCCTAACCGCTAACCATAAAATAAAAGAGTTGAATGGGTCTGACTTACATGGGATTTGGCCATCAAGTAAAACAAATGAACATCATTGGTTTGTCATTCTAAAACAAGCTATTTTCTATGACATAATATATATTATGCTATTATTTTAGATCTTAGTGGCTAAAATATAATGTATTTTAAAGTTATTCAATGGTTCAACCTCGACCAACCCAATTAGTCCAATTTTTATCATTTCAAATATGTATTTTATAATTATTTGATATCATAATGATCAAATTAGAGTGTATTTTATAGGGAATCGTTTGTTATTTGTTAGTAAAAAATTAAACATAAAGATCAATTTGGTTATTTTAAACATTAAAAGGATCCTAAACATTTTCAGTTCCTTTTGAATTTCTATGGTTTTATTCCCGAATAAGTGATGTGAAAATGGCGAATTGTAGTCGTCTCTTTTCTTTCACTATTTTTTATTTTCAAATAGAAAGTTTAAAAAGAGAATAATTAGAATTTGGCATGGGTCGGTCAAACAGGCTGAATTTCAAGTTTTTGCCCGTTTGTTTTATGCCTTGCAAATTTATTAGCATGTTGATGGAAATGGCTTGGAAAAAAGACATATAAGTTGTACCTTTGCAGAAATGTCCTCAAATGTTTGAATGCTTTGTGAATCAGGTTCCGTGACTTTTGTGATGGTGTATGTGTTTGACGATTGCTCGATGTTGTAACTACTTAATTTGAGAGTAAATCTTTTGATTTTCCCTATGAGTTGTGATACTAGTTCTGGTGGTTGCAGCACGTTGTCGTTGTTGGCCGGTAAAAGTTGTTCCGCCGTGATGCTAAATACATTTCTTTCTTTTTTAACAAATTGTGTAGTAGTGCTATGAAACAAACCACCCATGAACGCTACGCTTATTATGGTCTGTTCTTACTTCCGGTGGTGAGAAATTGTGAATTGAGAATCATATTCGCCTACCGCACTGTGTCTGGCTGGTGGCTGCTTACTGTGCTCTCTAGAGTTATGAAACAGACTACCCATGAACGTTACCATTAAGAGTCCATAACTTTGCGAAAAACCAAATTTAGGCAATCAAAGGTGGTGGATGTGTGATGATTTTTTATGGCTTAATTGTTTGTGAATTGGATATCTGATCTTTGTATGATTAGAGGGGACGTTTGCTTAATAGAATAATCCATTTTAATTCATGTTTATTTTTAACATGAACTTTAGTAACTCAAAACCTTCGAGACACAATATCACCTACTGCATTGTATCATTTTGCCTGCGTGCTTGCTGTGTTGTCAAACTTCTTTGTTGCTGCTACATTTACACTAACAGGGGTGTTAAGAACCCATGAACGTTTCCGTTTGACACAAACAGGAGGACTTGCTTCTAAATCGTGCACTAAAGATGATTGGAGGAAACATCTCTGTTGCAGTTGATATACTGGAGACCAGAACAAAAGCAACGTATAACATCAAAACCAACCATATGAACTATTAATTTTTTGGTTTGTGGCTAGCTGTCGTATTATTTAGAAATTATAATTAATTTTTTATGTATTAATATTGTTTTTTTGTTTTTTGTTTTTCTTACCTTTATTAGAGCTAGAGGTCTCATTTGTTAGTATTTTCGATGACTCTTTTATTTGTTTCCTTTATGTTGGTTCTATTCATCTATTTGCTGTTGTATCTGAAATTCCGACGATGGCTTGATGGAATAACCTTCCATAGGGAAGATGTATTGGCTCGATTTGATTGGACCACAAAGAATGCTCAAGGATATGCATCTGATTTCGTTAACCTCACAGGTGATGAAACTATTTCATTTGCTTTTGGTAAATTTTATCATGGTATTACTTATGTTTTTATAACAAAACTTTTTGTTCTTCGTGATTCTATGAAATAGTGTCTTACGTATAATGTTTTTTGTTACTTTTGTGGAGTTTCAAAACCGCCATTGGGGATGCTACAATGAGAAAGTCGTCTCCATCTAAGGGAAGTTTACTTTCTCTCTTTCTTGTCCCCTGTGTCAGTTTCGCGTCCTTTTGCTCCTCTAAGCTTTTTCAGAGCTGCCCACCTCGTGGCAAAAAAGGCTCTTTCATCGGGAGTCCGATTGCATACGGGCTACCGTTCTTGGGTATTGTTAGTGATTTGTATTTGTTGTTCGGCCATGCCCTGGGGGCTTATCTTGGATTAAAAAAAAAACCATATGAACTATTAGCATTGTTGCTTTACTCTTTTTTCGTGGTTGAGTCTCCTTCAAAAAATTTAGTTTGATTTTAGAAAATTTTGCTTCTGCAGTCCTGTCTTGCCACCAACGCGTTCAGTAGATGGAGATGGCAGAGGCGAAGGCTATTTTTGTGTTGTTGTTGCTGGTTTAGGGATCGGTTGTGAAGAAGAGGGAGAAGAGAGGGGGAAAGGGAAATGCAGGAGAGGGGGATAACTCTTTTCTCCGACAAAAATGGAGTGAAGAAAGGAATTATGATCAGTAAGGATATGGTTATCTTACATAACGGTCTCTATTCTGTTTGAATTGAGCTTGGGAGGCAGTGATTAATTCGCATATTCCAATCAATTTAATCCATATCTCTACACCCAGGATATCACTACTGTGCTAGCTATCCCTGTCGGGAATTACTACGTACTAAATAATCAATTCAAATCCTACTGTCGTAGCTCAATGAATTAACTATATAATGATGCTTTGAAAATGAGTTTGTGCTTGAATGAAATCAGCAAAATCACCCCACTAGTGTTGAATTGCATGGTTCTTCAGATAAGGACGAGCTGCAACCAATTCATAGGGAGAAGAGAGCTATGAACTGTGATCATGTCTTATTTCAAGTTAGAAGGTAGTTTCAGTATAAGGATTATTTAATTTGACAAGTTGTTTCATCCATGATTCTTGGTAGTTTCAGTGCCATTCTAGCCATTGTTTAGTCTGTAATTTTTGAGAATTGATGTGCGAGTAATGACTTTCACTTAGCTTCAACTATTATGTGTGTATTTATTGGCATGTGATAGAATTCTCTTTTCCTTTTCTTTGAATTCAGTTTCATACTCTAATTGTATCATTTGTACATAGGCAAATCATGCTCGAGATGACAACTCGCTGATATGGCTGGTGCAAGGAATGAAGCCATCATTAGAATTCAGACCGACAACGGGGAGGGATGCCCAGGACTAATTCAATGATGATTGATGATGGTATAATAAAAACTGCAGTCTGCATCAGCACCAATTTCTAGGCCTAAGTAAAGTTATTCAACCCCGAACTCTGCTTAGCGCTAAAAATTGCGCTCACCAAACCTTAATCCTCCCCGTTCGTATTTTTTTATTGACTCTTTCTGACCCTTTAGGTTGGGGCGGGTCGGGAAGAATCGGATTAGTGGATCGGTCCTAATCAAGTGGAATCTCAATCCCTTCACTCTCACTTGCTTTCTCTCCCATTCCACAAGTGGGTAACATACAGTAATCCGGGCAACGGGTCGGGTGATAAGCTAGTATAATATGATATAAGAATGGCCCAGGTGATATTAGGGGTGGGCGTTCGGTCGGTTCGGTTTGAACCGAACCGAACCAGAACATCCCGAATTTCCGAGCTTCCCAAGGCCCCGACCGAATTCGAACCGAGTTGTAATTCGGTTCGGTTCGACCGAACCGAATTACAACTCGGTTCGACTCGGTTCGAATGGTCAAAACCGAAAATAATGCTGCCCACTGTTTTTGCCTGCTGCCCACCGAAGCTTTATAAACCAACTCTCTCTCTCCCAGTCCCACATACCCTAACCCTCGTCGTTTCCCCATTCCGATCAAATATCTCTCTCTCTCTCTCTCTCTCTCTCTTCCAACAAACGCAGTCGATGCAGAGAAGAAAGGAGCGGTGCTGCATGGTGGTATCTCCTCTGTCTCCCGACTCAGCGACGAGCAGAAACAGCAGGCGACGGCGGTATCTCCTCCGACTCGCGACTCGGCGGCGAGCAGAAAGCAGCGGTGGTATCTACTCCGTCTCGTGACTCAGCGGCGAGCAGAAATAGCGGGCTGCGGCAGCGGTATCTCCTCTAACTCGCGACTCGGCGGCGAACAGAAAGCAGCGGTGCTGCGGTGGTATCTCCTCTGTCTCACGACTCACCGGCAACCGCGATTGATGCAGAAGCTAGAATACAACGCAGCGGCAGGCGGGTACGACGATTGAATGTTAGAGGTCAGTATGGTTGTAGATCCAAGCATGCATGTCGTTTTTCTGTTTGATTTTCACCTTCGAGTTTCAGTAGCATCGTCGCTCTTTTCGATTCAGGAGTAGAAAGCTTGGATTTTGGAGAAGAAAGTTCTGATTTTCAATATTGATTTTGATGCATTTAGGGTTTTATATTTGGATATTGTTTTTTTATCTCAGGGAGGAGAAGGGAGCGGAAAGAGGGGAAATGGCATCGAAATCTAGTGGCCGGCGAGGAGGAGTTGGCGGCCAAGCTAGCGGATGAGAGGAGGATTCGGCGGACGGCGGTGATGTTGGATGGTCGTTGGCGGCTTGGGTCAAGGATTTGGTGTTCTTTGTTAGGGTTAGGTTAGCAGTAGGGATGGAGAAGTTGTGGGCTTAAGGGATTAATTTTGGGCTTTGTTTGATTTGGGCTGTGAAGGATTTGTGTTTTATTTGGGCTGTGAAAGAATTGGGCTTTGTGAGAGGTTGAGTGGTCAGTTGGGTTGTAGTATTGTGGGTTAAATTTTTTGTTCGGTTTCTCGGTTCGGTTGTTCGGAATTCGGTTTCGGTCTGCATACACCTGGTTTCCGAAACAAAGGGTTTTGGCTTCCGAATTCCGAACCGAGCAACAATAATTCGGTTTCGGTTCGGTTTAATTCGGTTTCGGTCCGGTTCGGTTCGGGTTTACCGAACCGGATGCCCACCCCTAGGTGATATGCCCAATGGCCTCCCCGGCACAACTATTGGTCGTCCCTGAGTTAACCATAATAATTTTATTATGATAATCCAATCCCAAGATCCATGAGGTTGGAAGAGGGTCATTCAGTAACTGACTCGCCTTGTTTTTTCCAAAAACACAAAAAAACCCATTCGGCGTAGACAGATAGCCTACCCGGAGTGTCGTAACACACATCCGTTGTGAGATTCTAACAGTTAATTTCATCCTAAGAGTTCAGTTTCCCGCCGTAACTATGTACTTTGTTATTAGGGACAAATTTAGACCTATAGGGATACAAACATAGAAGGAAAACGTGTATCGTCCTAAGCCGGTAAGCTCGAGACCTTTGACCTCGTCTTTCATACCCAATTAAGACAAAACTAACCCAGTTGATACATTGTTTGTACCCAAATTACCAACTTTCCTCCCTCTATATAAACGACTCCATTGACGACCTCCTAGTCCCACAACAGTCAAATCCAATACCAACATCTCGCCACCAACCATCAATCGCCTCTTTCTTCCCCAAATTTTCAGAATGGCATATGATCATCATTATGCCGTCTTCACGAGCTTCATAGCTCTAGCTCTCAGCGCATGTACTCTCACATTAGCCATGGATGCTCTTCAGGATTTCTGCGTGGCCGATCTCAAGGGCTCTCCAACCATCAACGGGTTCGCCTGCAAGGATCCCAAAACTGTCCAAGCAAGCGATTTCTCCTTCGGTGGCCTCCACATTCCTGGCAACACCTCCAACGCATTTGGCTCTAAAGTCACTCCCGCATTCGTGACCCAGATTCCCGGACTCAACACGTTCGGAATCTCGATGGCTCGTGTGGATTACGCGCGTGGAGGGATCAACCCTCCCCACACGCACCCTCGAGCCACCGAGATTCTCACGGTCATTAAGGGCACGCTCGAGGTTGGTTTCGTGACGTCGAACCCTGAGAATCGCCTCGTTTCGAAAGTCCTTCGCAAAGGTGATGTGTTCGTCTTCCCGATCGGGCTGGTTCACTTCCAGCGCAACACTGGGCATCGGAATGCTGTGGCTATTGCTGCGTTGAGCAGCCAGAACCCGGGGGTTATTACTGTTGCTAATGCGGTTTTCGGATCCAAGCCTGACATTCCTACTGATGTGCTTGCCAAGGCGTTCCAAGTTGATAGGAGTGTTGTGCAGAAACTTCAGGCCAAGTTCTGAGGCGTTTACGGTGAAACAGATATATGATCGATTCAGAGACTGAACCATATGACGATCAGTTCAATGTTTTCTTGTTTTGGCGATATAAATTGGTGGATTTATTAAATTTTTTTATGAATTTTGCTGCTATACGCAAGTTGGATCAGTGATGGATTTAACATTGTATCGCTTACCAGTATCGCTTAAAAAGGTAACTTAATTTGCAAGTTTGAGGGCTAAATTGGTACAATAGAAGAGCTGAGAGATATTGGCTGCAAGAGTTTCTTATCATTGATGAACAAACTTAATTATGGAACAGATCGGCCACTCAAATAATTATTATTATTCTAAAAAGAACAGTAATGTTTTATAATATGAGATGGGTAGAAACCAGAACAACATCATAGTGACCCCAAAACAGAGGCAGGCCTTCAGCCTCAGGATAAAAATCAATAGCTTCTCTGAATGGTCTGAACCAGATAGCTGCTCGCTCTTCTATTGCCCACTAACATTCAGCCCGAAGCTTCTCTTAAGAGTGGTCTTCCTTGTTTTGTTCATACAGATTCAGGCAAAGTAAGCGAGCTGATGAAGTGTCGTGGTGGCAGATGCATTGCTGCTGCCAACTGCACTTTCTGGTATGTACAAGAACAACCCCGAAAAGATATGGTTGTTTGGGAAACGTGGAGATCCTGATAATGCCAGCGCTTTTCTTCGTCAAGTTTTCAGCCTAACCTTAAGGATGAGGTGCACTTCCCTCTTGAATATTGACTTCAGCTCTTCGTTAGCTTCTATACCTATTCTCCTGTGAAGGACAAACCGACACGACACATCAGAATAAATGGAAATTGCTCCTATATCAAACATACCCTAGATAAGCTGTGATTATGCTAGAAAATGAGACAAAAGCTGACTCTTGAAGATTTAGAGAGATTCTGGTTAGCAACCAAGTACCCTATTTTGCAACCACCCTTGCCAACGAGAATCTTCCGCTGGCTTAATTTGTTTGTGATAAAGTGCTGCTCTATCCTGAGTGACCCATCCCTCAGTTCCTTCCAGTCCATCAACCGATGTTCGATGCTATATGGGATTTCCTGAAATGAAAGCAGGATGGATTCAGTGGTACCCAGCACAAGCAATCCTTGGGAGAATAACAACAATTGTTTGTCAATTAGGAACATTTAGAGTTTTACCTGATGAACATGGTCTAATAATCTTTCCCGGACAACTTCTAATGACACGTTCTTCATCACTTCTTCACCCAACTCAAGAGGATCTTCATCCCAGGGTCTTTTAATTGCCTAACCACGCACATAAAAAGGTTCCGAAATCAGGACCAACAGAATTATTATTCAAATAAGCATACGCAGGTAGCAATGAAATTATGGGAAGTGGGCACATTAAGGAAGCAAGAGTTGAAGACTATTAATTTATGAAAACCTTTCTTTATCTATGCATCACTGCAATGCTTTGCAAAAAAAAAAAATTATTGTTTTCATGAATGATCTGGAAAACTATTACTGAAATAGTAGCCCTGAACTCAGTTTTTGGTAATGCTCGGCACCAATATCCAAAAAAAACAACCTTGTAGTTCATCCATCTAACACCTAGGTAAAAATTTCGACAAGGATTCAGGAAAGAAAACAAATAAAAATTCACTCGACGAAACAAACAGGGTCATCGGATATGGGAACTAATTAATAACTAGGAAGCATTTAAAACTCACATCATTATTAAATTTTTCTGTTTATATTTTATTATGTAAATGAAACTTGCATTCAGATTGAAGGAACTGGAAACAATACGATCATCGGAGTGGAAAGCTTCAATTTGAATAAGACCATCAATAGCAAGTTTCAGAAGTAAAGAAAATGAATCACAATGGACAAAGTTACTAGCACCTAATTGCATAAAGCTTAATGAAACATGCCTGTGTCGTCAAATACAGTGTAAGATCTTTTACTCCAACACCCTTTAGCCCGGATATCAGGAACTGCCTAAACAACAGAATTGGAGAAATCATCAGACAATTCTAGCATGGTATAAAGGTACATCGGAACTCAAGAATTCCCTTACCTGTCGTAGCCAGGTAGATCTTTGAATTGTTCTATGACCTGTACCAACTCTTTCTTCTTTTCAACTAGGTCAACCTTATTCATGCATAATACCCTTTTCTGCTTTGCATCTTCCTGTTCTCCCAACTTTTTAACCAGCCTTATCACCCTCGAATCGGGCCTGATACAAACAGAGAAACACAAGAATCGGAAAATTTACTTCCCTCGGGTAAAAGAAGGACCATTCAATCAAGGGTTTCAAACTATTGTGTGGAAAACAGACCAAAGCTCTGTATTTCTTTCATGCCCCATATTTACTTAAAAGTGATATAGCTCCAACCAACTGAATATACAGTCGAGGTTAAGTCAATAGATACTAACCTGGTCAGGTGCCTGTGAACGTCAAAAATAACTATGAGGACATCATACAGCCCAATTGTGCTCCAAGCATTTTCCACCCGTGTCTTCACATCTTTGTAAGCATACCCACGACTATTTAGCATGAGACCAGGAGTGTCGAAGAAACACTGGATGCAGAAATCATCAGCCATGATCAGATAATAATAACCATGGCAATGCAAAGGACAAGGGGATTGCTTTTTGATTCATCATAAATAATAAGTTAATAATGAACATGGCAATGCAAAGGACAAGGGATTGCTTTTATATAAACTTCTTAGCAGAGCTTGAAACCATTATCTTTCAAGGTGAAATGAATGGTGACTTTTCATTTTGCTATTAAGTAATCACGCCTTCCAGTTAAGCGGATAAATTTGTAGTTTCCTTACGCTGACAGTGCCATTACCTCATATGCTGGGATAACAGTAGACAGAAAACATACTCAAGCTACTACCAACTAAAATTCGTTTCAAAGGCATACGGAGAAAGATGGATGCTGAAGTTAGTTGAGATGAAAAAAGTCTACAGTTGATACGGAAAATGTTAACCAGTGAGAGAGGCTGATTTCTGTTTATGTAGGCTAGTAAAATAACAGCGCAATTTGTATAACTACCAAGCAATGGTGCATTATATAAACCAATGGAACAGGACTTCTAATATAAGGTTTGAAGACATAGTTCCACGGAAACATGCCAGGAAACAAGATAATTATTATCCATAACATATAATGTGAATAAAAAGGCAATGAATGGACGAGAATCGCGGCAACTCAGTAAATGGAAAAAGAAACATACGATCTGGGTATCTCCTTCCGTCATTACCCCCAGTACTTCATGAATAGTGGTATTCGTTTTTCGCGACACAGCAGAAACCTTTGTTCCCACCTACATAGCATAATAAAGCAGCAGTGAGAATGGCAAGAATTTCCAGAATATAAAGCTCGAGCCAAAACAGGACGAGCAAGCTAATCTATAAATCACAATCAGAAGTGTAACTTGCAGCAACTGCGTTGAATTGTAACTTATCAGGGAACCAAGTTGGGTGTATATCCACTAAAGAGCACACAATTTCACCCATAGATCCTATGCTAGACCAGTGTCATAGTAGTCTCAACTAAACCTTCCTTAAACCCTCAAAGCAAAACTACTCTGCAGACTCTAATTTCACAAAACTACATATTTCCCCATTTTGAGAATAACCCAACAATACATTGTAAACGAGTAGCGGAACACAAACCATGTAATTCGTTAAGGACGATTTCCCAGCATTAGGAGCACCAATAATCCCGACAGAAAGAGACTTCTGGTCTTCTTCCCTCACCAATTCCTCCTCTTCGTCATCTCCCTTAAGTGCAGCCTCGAGCAAGGCTCTGGCCAGCACTCTCCGCTTCAAATCGTCCTCTTCCTCGTGAAGCGCTGTCTTCAGCTTACTTTTCTGGGTTTCTTCCCCAAATATAAATTTATCGGCTTTCTCTCTGTACTTCACATCCCAGGTGGGTTCTAGGAGGGTTTTAGAAGAAGAAGTAGCAGAGGCATCAAGATCAATGGCGGGAATCGCGTAGTGGCTGCTATCGAAGGCGTCGTTATCACTACTGTCTTGGTGTTGCGGGTGAGCTGTGAAACAGCGGGCGAGGTGAGTTGGGTTTTGCGGCAAGGTATTGGAAGGTCGCCCAGCGAGCGATGCCAAGACTCTGAGAACTCTGAGAGATTTCATTCTCTGGAACTTCGTCGGGTTTAGCAGAAAACCATCTACCGCTTCGCTGTAGCAGAAGGGAAATGAGCACTCCGTCGCTTGTCGGATAGAGAGGAGCTAACGAGTTTTTAACACCATTCCGTCCCGTGATATCAGCGGAGCAAGAAGAGAAGATTAGGGTTACAGAGAGACAGACGAGTAAGAGTAACAACGAAAAGTTAAAGAGGAGAACCGGGCGGGCAGACCAGTAACACATCGACCCCGTCAACATTCGGTTCGGATTTGATTCAACCGCATTCGTGTTATAATAAAAAATTGTGAAATCATACCGGAGATTATATTGGAAAAGTCAGTGGTAAGGTATGTTGTATTAAAATTATAAGTCAATCATGATTCAACCATTTCCTAGCACTGGTTATAATTCATCTGAATTACGAGTTCATCAAGTTGCAAGATAATTAAGAGTTAATCGACTAGCAAATAAAATTAGTGAGTGATCGAGTTGTGAGTTATTTGAAGTCAACTCGTCAATCAAATTACGTACTACCCAGGATCTTATTGGAAGACTACGATACAAACAAAATTTTGACCCCTGAGTGTAGGTTCAACCCAAAAATATGGTCGGTTTGTATAGATGGTTAATACGAGAACCAAATAAGAAAGCTGGCAGCCTGGCACATTACAAAGTCGGCAGTCTGCACTACTTACAAATCACTATACTGGCCAGGTTCACTGAATCTCACAAGTCACAACCCAAATGCCTCTCTTCCCTTTATTTCCAAACCATGTCTTTAACTCCTTCCCAAGAAGGCACAGAAGACCGAAGCCCTCATCTTCCCATCTCTAAAACTCTGGCCATGGTTCACCATTGCTCATAAG